AATATTAAAATCCATGACTGTCTTATGAATATTAGTTTTCATTGCCTAAGTGTAAAATAGACACTTGAGTGGGATAGAAAGGAATGTTGGGAAATATGATTAGAGAAAACTTGTAAGCCCGCCTTCAGCCTATAACTGATTGGAATACCTAAAAGGGGCTCTACAACTTGCCCAGTGAAATAGGCCTCGTGCAAAGCCTTTACAGAGCATAGGACCTTAGGTGGAATCCTGAGTCCCATCTAGAACCCTAAGAGGTGGGATATTCCCACTAGAAAGGACAAGTAGACCAACCTGGAATAGCTACAGTGACAGAAGATACATCTTCAGAGAAAGGTCACCAGGAAAAATCCAAAACAAAAATGTCAGCATAACTGACTACTACAAGAATAAGCAAGCTGTTCACCAGGAAGACATTAAGGCTAGCAATCAAGTGCCTTCAGGACAAACTCCCCTCGAGACTGAAACTCAAAGGGAACACAAAAACAAGCATGTAAGCTTGTTGGCAACCACATTGTTCTACTGGTGAGTGGAAGAGGTGGAAAGGCATCAATGAAGAAATGGGCTGAGTTCAACCCCAGTCCATTGAATCCTGTTGACCTGGAGATGAGAGAAGAGGAAGGGTTGGTTGGTCCAAAGTGTGGTGAGACCTGAGGACACTTGAACCCATGGACAAGGACTTAGCCACAGAGGACTAGATCTGAGAGTCAAGCACCCAGCTGATATGAAGTGAGGGGAGATGTACAAGAACACTCAAACTTGCTAGCCTCGATGGCTCGATAATCAGAACTTGACTAGAGGAAGATTGGGGGAAAAAAAATTTATTTTTTTGATAAAGGAAACAAGGGTGAATTGCTTCAATTTGATGAACCTGACCTATACTCAGAGCGGTAGTTACTCTAAATACCAACACAGAGGGAAAGAGTCTTCACATCAAATATCAATGCTATCCCCTCTGTACACAGGGTAGATAGGGACAGTCAAGTTAGACATTGGCTACCTAAAATGAGGGGGCGATAAAGGCATGAAGTGACTGGCTTACAAGGTTTCAAGAGGGAGTTTACTTTAAGAGTATGAGGGGAAAGAAAGAGTCCCCACTGAATAGCTGGCATCTTGTCTAAATGGGTCTGGTGAAAAGATTCGTATTATTCAATAGTGAATAATTGTTATCGTGACTAATTGCGACTGTCACAATTGTAAAGGTAGAAGTTTTATAACAAAAATGGGTGAGTGTTTAATCTTACAGTCCAGAAACAGAGGACTCTAGGACCATCAAGAGAGAAGTGCACAAGCAGAATGAGGGACCTTATCCAGAGCCGCAGCAGCATCAGAGATGGAGGCAGAGATAGGGGCATAGAGAGGGGGAGTGGCTGAGGACTCAAGATTCATAGACTAAGAAGAGAGGGACTAAGAGCTGGTGGCCAGGAGCAGACTTGCAGAATGTGCCCTTTGGAGACGTAAATAATTATATATGCCTGAGTGGTTTTATTGTTTGTTTTTTAAAAAGCTAAAGTGGATAGAGAGAAATACTTTTAACTGATGGTACATGGAGGGGATTATAATCATTGTAATGAAACAAGGTATATGATTTGTTGAATGTAAAACTGATGATCTGCCCTGTAAATTTTCACTCAATCCACAAAAAAAACCTTAAATAAAAAAAACAAAACAATAATGGCAGTCCGATTGATTACTAAAAGAACAAGCAAGTTGTTTGCCCAGGAGCCATCAAAGCAAATGGTCAGGTCCCCTCAGGGAAAACCCCCTTCCAAAACTAAGACTCAAGGGGAATACATGAGCTGGCATGTGGTCTTGCTGGTGACCACATTGGTCTCTGATAAGAGGAAGTGGAGGAAAAATAGCAATGGAGTTGTGAGCTAAGTCCAACCACATTCAATAGACTCCTGCAAACCCAGGTTAAGACCTGGTTGACCAGCAGTATGGGAATACCTGGGGACTCCTGGGCCCAGAGACAGTGACATGGCCACAGTGAACTAGAGCTGAGAGTGAAGCATCCAGCTGATATGAAGTGAGGGGAGACGCACAAAGAACACCCATACTTGCAGATACTTGCACTTAACCTGGCTTCAATGGATGGATGATCAGAACTTGACTAGAAGGAAGAAGAGGAAAAAAAAGAGTAATCCGCTACATTTGATAACTTATATACTTATGGATGTAGTAGCTCCAAAGAGGGAACGAATCTTTACAGCAAGGATCATTCCCACCCCCTCAGTACACAGGATGAACAGGGATGGGCAATTTAGACACTGGCTATCCAAAATTGGGGGGCTACAAAGGCAAGAAGTGACTGACTTACAAGCTTTCAAGAGGAAGCCTAGTTTCAGAGGGGGCAGGGGAATGTACACTCTCCACAGAGTGGTTTCCAATCTGTTGGGACTGGGCTGATGCAAGGAGATGGGGATAAGACTCTTGTGGTACGATAGTGAATAATTGCTATCAGGATTGACTGTGAGGGTAAGAAATGTAACAGTAGATGTTTTGTCACAGAAGGAGGGGAGTGGTTGATTTTGCAGTCCAGAAGCGGAGATCCCTGGGACCATCAAATGAGAAGAGTGGAGTGTGGGACCCTACCCAGAGAAGCAGTGATGCCAGAAATGGAGGCATGATGTGGATAGATGGAGCAGCTGGGAACTCTGGACTTAGGGAGGGAGAAGGGCTGTGTGCTGGCCGGCAGGGGGCAGGCTTGCAGGGTGTACCCTTTGGTTGTTTGATGATGCATGGAGGGGATTGTAATCATTACAATGAAATGAAATACGATAGGATGAATGTAGAGCTGGTGTTCTCCCAAGTAAACTGTCACATAATTAGCAATAAAAACTTAAAAGAAAAAGCCCAAACAACCAACAAAAAACTATTGGTCTCTACTTGTTTGAAACAAAAGAGAAAGGAAACCCAAGACTCAGAAAAGGAATCAGTCAATAGTTCTATGAACCACATGAACCACAGTCTCCTCTATCCTGAGACCAGAAGAGCTAACCCAGCTATCGCTACCAGCCACTCTGATCAGAACTACAGTTAATGTATCCTGATAGAATGGGAGACAAATGTGGAACAGAACGTCAAATTCTCAAAAAAAAAATCAATCTTATTGGACTCGCTGAGACAGACAGAATGCTTGAGACTGTTTTCCTGAGATATTCTTTAAGCAGTGAGCCAAAACTATCCCAACACCTGTTAGCTAATTTGAAAGTTAGCTAATAATGAATATTGCGCTTGATTACTGTGTTCTTTGAAAAAAGAAATCTATGTAAGACCAAATGGTCAACTAATAATACCCTGGAGAAAATAAATGAGAAGGTTGGGTGACTTAGAGACTAGGTAACGGGAATGGAACACTTAAAATGGAAACTATGAGAGTGTTGATACAATATGAAGCATATAACCAAAGTCACTGTCTAGAAATTGTCAAATATGTGTACAAAATGCAATAATATATCTAGCTATAGATATAGAATTTTTAAAAGAAATCCAAGTTTATATACTCTCCCCACCCCACCTACCCCTACCTCAGAACTTTTCCTACTGGTAATAACTAGATAAAGAAAAAAAGATTTTCTTTCGTTCATCCTGATTTTTATTTAAATCTTTACTTAATTTGACTCGATAACATCTCACACCTGATTAAAGGGCCATAGGATCTCTGTTAATGACAAAAACAAAGCAGATTGTAAATGTTATAAACTTAAAGGTTGACACTAATGGTCATTGAAGTCCAAACTTACATAACTACTAAGGTAATGAATTGTTCCTGTTGTATAGCTCTTTCTTGGGTACATCCAACCAATCTATCTTGTTAGGTGATTGATCATGCCTGGAGTTGGCTGTATACAGTTTTTTGAAGAATTGTGTTTTCTTTTATTTTTGGTATTTTCTATCTTGATCTGCTGGCTGACCTCTTTTTTCCTGTAAGACCTCTTTTTGCAATACAAGTGTTGAAGCGATTATTACGAGCTTTGGTATTACTACAAACATCTAGCCTTATATAAAATTTCTCTATTTTCTGAAATGCGCCCTCCATGTCTCTCATCCTCTGCCTATGAATTCCTACTTTCTCTGCTTCTTGTAGTTTCTGATCTTTCTTGCCCTGTTCATAGTCTATCTGATCTCTCTCTTTCTTATGATGGAGCTCGTTGAGAATTTCCATTCTCTGCTGTAAGATTTGGCATTCGTTCTCCAGTAAGGCTGCAGTCAAATGCAAGGAATAAGTGTCGTGCTCCAGTTTCCTAACTTGTTCCTCCATCTCCTGATTAGTTGACAACTTGTTATGTGGCTGGATTTGGAAGTGAACCCCATCGTTTTTAAGTTCTCTTTTGTCATGCTGAGATTTCTGATATGATTTTATTAGTTCACTGAGTTCGGTGTGCTGTTCACTCCAGTGTTCTGCTTTCTGTAGTAACTGCTCCATATTGTTCCTGAGCTTGATATTTTCTTCTTGATCATGAAGTAATCCATATTTTGCTTTCTCTTTACTTATTTTAGTTTCATTAATGACCTCTTTTCCATCTGAATGATTTGCGAAATCCCTTGTAAAACCTTGTGCTGTGTCCTCGGAGTTCTGGTTTTCCAATATCTTTTTTTCATTCTGGAATTTCTCTGGCTCTAAACTAGCAAGCAGATTTTTAAATAGCGTTTTGTTGATTTTGTCAAGTGCTCTGATTTTTTCTTTAAGGTCTAACACATCATCAGAAGCATTGATGTCCCCCAAAGATTCTTCTCCATCTGTGGTCTTTCTAAAACTTGTCATGTTTTTAAGGATACCTTCAATTCTGTTTAAAACATTTTCAAGCTTTTGTGTCATCAGTTGCTCAGATACTTGATTGCTATTCCTTTTTAGAGGAAGCAGTGAACTCCAGAAGAAAAGGGATACTGATCCAATTTCGAATAAGGCAATGATCATCGTTGGGTCCCAAGATTCTTGATGAAGAGCAGGAGTATACCTAAAGGTTTCGGGGAGGGTAGGTGCTTCCATCTCAGCTGAATTAGCAGGGCTGACAACCAGGACAGGCGGAAAAGAGAAAACCTTGAGATTTCTGGACGAGAAGATGCAAGTCCTCTGTGAAAATGCAGAACCAAGCAGAAGCTAGAGACCAGAGTGAAGAATCTTGAGCCGGAGAAATGATGTTTAGGTGGATGACGACATTTCAGACAGCTTGGGATGGAGGAGGCTGGGAGAGGGAGTCAGGAGCCGTAGCTCCATAGCCTCTACTAGGCTTCTGGTATTTATTCTCTGTCCCTAGCAACCAGTCACTGCACCAGCATGGCCTATCCCCAGCTTGTGTCACAATGGAAGTGATTCATGCATCAAAATCAACCTGGAACTCCTCCTACCTCCCACCTCAATATGATAGTCCTTCCCTACCTTGCTTTTTCTCTAGGTTTCTATTCATCTCATTCTACCCATATCCAATAGCTCCCCTGCCTCACCTCCTCTACCCAGGATCCCAACCTCTACTGCACACAGCATCTTTTTTCCTCCCACCTAAATACATGGCCCAGAGCAATCTAGAGACCTTGTTGCTTCCATCCTAGAAGAGATGATACTGTAAAAGAAAGTTATCCATACAAAACAGAATAAAAAATTATAGCATTTGTTTAGGATTTTAGGATGCAAATGTCAGGAATAACTCCATTACAATATACCCTAATGCAGTAAGAAGGGACTATCTGAATTATTAATTAACAACACAATTAAAAACTGGGACTTTTTGTGGCTTGAAATACGAACATCCTTTAAGACAAGCTAACTGAGTGAGCTTACTTCTAAATCATTTACATGAAATGATATAAAAAATTAATCATTAGTTTTTACAATAACTTCTTAAAATAACATGCACTATATCTAAAGTGTTTGAAAGACCCCATGATTCAATTTTCAGTCAAACAATAGACGTATAAGGTAAAAAATAATTTGGAGGTACACACCCCTTAGAATAATCAACCATAGGATATCAAAAGAGCAGCATTTACCCAGGGATAAAGCTCAGAAAGCAAGTGGTGGTGATGGGGGTTATGTGCCATGGAGTTGGTTCCAACTCATAGCAACCCTGTATAGGGCGTTCAAGACTGTAAATCTTTATGAGTGAAGAAAGCCTCGACTGTCTCCTGCGAAGTGAATGGCTGGTGGCTTTGAACTGCTGATCTTGTGGTTAGCAGCCCGATTCATAACCCACAGCACTCACTACAGGAGCTCCTTCAGAAAGCAAGAAGGAATAGAAAAGAAGCACGAGTGGCAATGGTAAACACAGGCAGGAAGTGAGCAGAGTTACATTGTAGAGATTACAATATAAATCACAAATGAAAATGTGCTGAATGAAAAACCAGTTTACTCTGTAAACTTGCACCCAGATTACAATGAACAGTTAAAAAAACAATAAAAAAATAAAGTGTTTGAAAGAGTTATATAATATAATGGGTTATATAAAAATAGACACTAAACCTGGTGTATTTTTATTATTTTGTCTTTAGGAGTTGAACCCTTAAAATTACATTAAATTCAATCAAGGAAAACCATCCTTTGGCTGAGACCTTTCCTTGATCATGAAAATTTTTATTAGCGAGCATTTGACTAATTAGAAGTTTGCTTCGAATCTGATGGGAAAATTCATACTCTAATAGTATTTTTTTCCCCTATGAGGTAGAGATTTATCTCTTTTTCTCCCATAATTATCAACTGACTTTGGCTTTAATTTCCCTGAGCCTTATGCTCATCTCTGAGCCAGCTGGACCTGGAGCTGGAGTCTCACTGACAATCTACAGAACAGACAGAGTTGTGCTGATGGTTTATATTGAAGAAGGGGCACCTTTATCTAATTCACCTAATGACGCATGCCTTAAAGGCTGGCGTCCACCTTTATGCATGCTTTAAATCCATCTCACTTCAGCTTGCATTTTCCCTTTGACTAAAGAATCATTTAAGACAGTCTTTATGTTTGCTTTTGTTTTCTGATTTCCAGGTTAGTGGGATTTTTTTTTTTTTTTTCTAATTTTGGTATTAAGGAGCTCTTGGTAGTACCAATGGTTAAGCACTTGGCTGCTAACCAAATGGTTGGCAGTTCAAATCCACACAGCAGTTCTAGAGGAGAAAGATCCAACAATCTGCTGCTAAAAAGATTACAATCTAGAAAACATTATAGTGCAGTTAGTTCTACTCTGACCCGTGGGACATCATGAATCAAAGATGACGCAATGTCACCTAGCAACAACAAATTAGTATCTGGCTTTATTGCACTATAAATCAGAAAGCGTCTGTATTATTTCCACCTTTTGAAGCTGGTATTTTCTTTTTGGTTGTTGTCGTTAGGTGCCGTTGTGTCAGTTTGGACTCATTGCGATCCTATGCACAACAGACTGAGACATTGCCTCATCCTGCACCAGTCTCACAATTGTGCTTTCACTTGAGTCCATTGTTGCAACCACTGTGCCAATCTGTCAAGCTGGGGGTCTGCCTCTTTTTTGCTGACTCTCCACTTTACCTAGCATGATGTCCTTCTCCCGGGACTGGTCCCTCCTGATAACATCACCAAAGTATGAGATACGAAGTGTGGCCTTCTGGCCTCCAAGGAGCACTCTGGCTGTACTTCTTCCAACACAGACCTACTTTTGGCAGTCCATGGTCCATGGTACCTTAAATATTCTCCTTCAACACCATAAACCAAATGCATCAAATCTTCTGTGGGCTTTCTTAGTCATTGTCCAACTTTCACATGCATATGAGGCTACTAACCTCACAGGTCATCAATTTTCATATATGTTTTATGGATTGTTGAAAAGAAAGTGTATTTTCTGTTTTCTTTACTTGCAGCTCCTTAATGCTTTTGAATATAAGTCTAACACTGTCCTTGTCTTTGATTTTTATGGAAAATGGGTCAGTGGTAGCTTGGTCAATATATTAAGAGGAGTTTTCCTAGTAATCAAAATGGGATTTAAATATTTCCTATTTCCTTACAAGTATAATGAACTTCAAAGAAATGCTAATTTGACTGAAATTTGAGTATACTGAAGATATGAAAGGTTTATCAATGCTGAAAGAGACCCAGGTGGTTCCTCTCTTCTTTATTGACCCATATCCCCAGTGAATAGCCATGGAGGTGAAACAAAGAGTTGGATTGTCTTCTTTCTGTCTGGAGTCCCTGGGTCTCTTCTAACCCAAAGGCTAGATGTTTGAGTCCACCCAGAGGTTTGAAAATCTGCTTCTAAAACACCAGCCACTGAAAATGCCATGAAACACTGTTCTACTCTGACATACATGGAGTCTCCATGAGTAGGAATTACCTTGATAGCAACTGGTTTAAATAAGCACTAGACCGCAAGGTCAGTTTGAACCACAGGGTCAGCAGTTCAAACTCACCGGCTGCTCCTCAGAAACCTTATATAGGGTTGCTGTGGGTTGGAACCAACTCAACAGCATTTAACAAAAACAGCAACAAGTTTTCCCTAGCTTGATAGCTTTTTAGAAGAAATGCCAAAACACTTTTAAAAAAGAAAATTATTAGAGTGAATTTTTGTATAAAGTTGTTCTCTTTTTAACACCAGTTTTTCATTACAAGATTATAAAATCTTATGCCCCCTTTTAATGTATTTGAATCTCAGCTGTCAAAATGTTGGCTAGGTCTTTCATGATTCTTTTGGGTTCAAGTGACAGAGATGGACTCAAAACTGGCCAAATAAAGCTGAGACAGGGTTGGGGAGGAAAGTGTCATTGGCTCGTGGTAACTTAAAAGTCTTGAAGAAGCTAGTTTCAGGCAGAGCTGGATTAAAGGGCTCAAGTTATATTATGACATCTCTGAGATTGTTTCCCCTCTGTGTGCTTCATTTTAGAATTCTCTCTTCATATGATGGACACAGGTATCACCAGGCTGTTAAAAACTACTCAAGAGGAAATCAATTTTCTCTCTCCTTATAGTTTCAGCTCGACGGCACTTAACATACATACATACATAGTTTCAGCAGAAGTGTTGAGGAAGGTACTAAATGGCCTAACTTGGGTAATGTGCCC